CCCTAGGGTAATCACCATCCCACTCTCCGCCATCAGCTGCATAAGAAGTCCCTGCTATCTCCCCCTAACCAGCTCGCGGATACCATTACATATCACTAAGACTAGATAATTCTTCGAATGAGAGGTTCTACCCTACAACGGTTGGACTCAGACAAGAGCTGCGAAATAGAGATAAACCTAACCTTCTGAAATTATTTAGTCCTCGCAATATGTAACTTAACATATTCGTTTACTAGTTAGTAAAAGATAAATAGAACTCCTAAAAGCACAAAGCAAGCAACATTCGAGCATTGAGTACACATAATCAAGCATATCTTAATTAGGCCATCACTGACTAATCTGTACTAGCATGCAGTTCTTAAAGATGATACACATATAACAGGCATATAAGACATCCTTCCTAGATCCTTAGTCATAATCTAGCATGCAGTTCTCATAAACATAACATAACTTGTGTGGGTAACTTGGGAGTACTTACTCGAGCTCGGCTGATTTCATGCACCACACCCTTTTCTCTTTTCAAAATTCTTTTCTCTTTTCAAACTTCTTTTTATAAAAATGATTTTCTTCAGAAAATTTTAATACTAATTCCTTAGTTTAAGTTCAGACACACCCTAGAATGTGCCCGAATCCCTCAAACCAAGGCTCTAATGCCAACTTGAAACATCCCATAAATACGGTCCAAAAATTTCATTCTGATTATTTATAAAAACCATAATTACAATTTGTCATCTCATAAAAAGAACATAAGTAATGTATCTCAAATCATCATAATAAAATACTCTATCAAAATCATGTGTCAAATATCAAAGTCTAAACATCCCAGACTGAATCAATGGTGTGCGCACTGCAATTATCCCGAGCTCTTCCCCTTGCTACCGGAAGTACCTGAAACCAAAACTGAAAACTGTAAGCACGAAGCTTAGTGAGTCTCCCCAAACTACCACATACCATACACGCATAACATGCAACTAGGAGATACGTGCCTCGCCCACACTCATGGAGATACGGGCCCCGCCCACACTCTGCTATCTAGGAGATACGGGCCCCGCCCACACTCTGCTGGCTATGAGATACGAGCCCCGCCTACACTCAGCTACTATGAGATACGAGCCCCGCCCACACTTATCTACTATCAGATATGGGCCCCGCCCACACTCAGTTACTGAACATACATACAACTATTACACAGACAACAAGTATAACTAAATCTATCAATCAGTCAAATATCCATACTCAACTAAACTATGAGATGCGGGCCCCGCCAACACTCGAATACTATGAGATACGGGCCTCGCCCACACTCGGCTACTAATCATACATATACAGGCCGACCTTGGTGCCTTAGGCCCATCCTACTGTAGGAAAATTGACCTCGCAAAGCTGACTGCTAAAATCTCGAGTGAGGAATCTCTGATGGCTACTCCCACGACTCCCCAACTATTATTATCACAATAACACTTAGTCAAAGACTGAAAATCCTTCTAAGGGTAAAATGACCATTTTACCCCTAGTCAAAGTCAATGCTCTGGTCAAAGTCAAAGTCAAGGTCAACTTCCAGTTGACTCAAATCGTCGAGTTACATCCTAACTCGTCGAGTTCCTATGCTATTCAGACTTGTGATAAACCGAGTCAACTCGTCGAGTCCCTTCACAGACTCGTCGAGTTCCACCTGGTACGGCATCGGGACAAATCGACTCAACTCGTCGAGTCCCCCTCTGGACTTGCCGAGTTCCCTTGTCTGTTTGGGCTATCTTGATGGATTAAGGCCATACACTTCAGATCCAAGCTTCATACTTCACATAAGCCCCGAAAATGTCCTTTTAAAGGTAAAGTTTCCAACTTTACCCGTTACTACCTCTTCTTAATGGGTTTAGCTCAAACCCTAACTCCTTAGGACCCAAAAACTTGGTCCTTTAGCCATCCATACACCAAACTAAGACTTACAACCACATATCTAAATCCCTAACACTACTTAGACACGTAAAGCTCCCATCTTTCACTTCATGCATGGCCTTTTTGGGATAAAAAGGCTAAGATGACACTCTAGGGCTTGCATGGAGTCTCTAATCGCATAAAGTTTGCACCTTTATGCCATACCAGCCCTTCAAGGTCTTAGATTTGGAAGATTGCCCACTTGGGTCGTCCATTCTCCAAAGGTTATCATTCTTGGGCCAAAACCTTCATAAAAGCGGAAGGAAGAGATCTAATGAACTAGAGGTCAAGATAGAAACTTGATTACCAGAAAATGCAGCCAAAGAAGTGTAGTTTCTGGATATACTCTCTTCTTGTTGAGCCTTCTAACTCCTTCTTCTTCAAGCTTCAAGAACACACAAGATTTCTTACAAAAGGCTCACACACTCATAAAATGCTCTAGGGTTTCGTGGAGTAGGGTTTGGGACTTGGAGGCTGGAAATGAGGCCATAAGGTGGGGATTAAGTTGCTTAAATAGGGTGCAAACCCCCGAAATTAGGGTTTCATTCTGGCAGGCCTACTCGCCGATTTGAGGGCTCTCAACTCGTCGAGTAGATGGATTTAAACCTGCATCCAATCCCGCTTCTACTCGACGAGTCTGGGTCTCCCAACTCGTCGAGTAGCTCTACAAAATAAACAAAATACAATTTAAATTCGTACCAGGAAAGAGGCGTTACAGCTCTCTTCTATATTGTTTAGTAGAACACTCCAACAGTCTATTACATTTGAATGAATATTCACTTTTGCTGCAATAGTTCTAGCATATTCTAGATGCATTCCAAACTCTTCTTTTGATTCCGATACATGCTCTTTGCATTTGTCATGGTTGTATACTTCAGATAGTTTACACTACATTATTCATAAAAAAACAAATTTAAAAGTATTCAACTACACCTTTTATGTATTCCTAATCCAATAATCATTTGTGCAAAAAGAATTTCTCTTTGATCGACTGCATCTTTCAAGTCAACAACTCTTTGTACAAAAGGTGACTTCAATGAAGGTCCATGCTTCATTTCTTTTTTTCTCTTATGTTAATCCCTACTACAGCTCCAACATTTCTCTTTGTCATTTTATGACATTCCTATTTCAGCTCTTTCTTTTGATCAACAACTGCATCATTATTACCATCAATCCTTTTCGAAGTATTCATCTCATCTGCACATTCATCAAGTCTAGATGCAAATGATGGACCATCAATTTTAAATTTAATACTCTTTTTAGAGTTGTTTCTTTCTATTTCATCAACTTGCTTTATCCAACCAGGTGTTAATATACACGGAGAATCAAAACTAGAATTCCCATTGTACACTACAACTTCCTTTCCTATATACTGCTTATGTGAACCACCCTGCTCCTCAACCTGAACCTTATCATTGCACATACCAGTTGGCTTCAGGATTGTTGGGGACATTCTCTCCATTCTCAGATTTAAATTTGTAGTACCATCGACATTCATTACAGAATAACCCTTGACCCCACTTGGTAAATCCTTACCCATCTTGTTGGTTAAATTAGTAAGCATTTGGTTCATCTCTTCATCCGATTTTTCTCCTTCCTTTGCATGCCCAATCATAATATCAACATCCATTCTATCTTTATGCTCATCCCCGATTAATGCTTTTAATGTTGTCCCATTAAAAATTTCAACCACCTTCCTAACCAATGAATTCATCTTATCATCATCCGGATGCATTTCTATAAACATCAGACTACTTGCTTCTATAACCTTTTTTTGCTAAAGCAACCTTCCTATCCGACTTTCAATAATTCCATAACTCTCCTACAATTTAAATGAATGAAATGTTAATTTAACAGTCTACTAATTTATAATACATTACACGTACCATTCACTAACATAAAAACATCACTTTTACTAGTAAAGTTATTATATAATATTCTTACCTAAACTGATCTATTTCTTGAATCATTTTGATTCATCATCTCATCGTAAACCACACTATCAACGTTTTCCCTTAAACACAAATTTCCAAAGATCCCTTTGCTTACTTCATATTCCTCGAAAACTCTTAGGTGCTCTAAATCAATTTATGTGATGAATGGCCTATACCTTTGCAGATTTACATCTTCACATACCACAATGTTCGCATATGCCATCTACAAAATTACATTACATAATTTATCATTAACATAGAATTTTATGGTTAACAATATTTAACACATGAAATTAATATTTCAAATCATACCATTAGAAACGCAAGACGTCATGTGAAGTAGCAGTTCTTGTAGTTTGGCCTCCACTTATTCTTGCTTTTTTCTAAATAGTCTACTATTTACTCACACCAGTTAATACTTGACACATCCTTGCATTTAATTAACTTTTCAATAAAATTAATTCTACAAGACCCGTCATCTCTGTTTCAGCAAAAGTATTAATGAATAAAGTCGAGAACAATTTGAAGTATATGCGTGTGTGTTTTGTCTAGCCGGAAAGTTGAGAACAGCCACCGCCACCACCGTAAGGTGGTGGCTGCCACCATCTACCACCACCGGCCACCACAAGGTGGTTGTGTGTGTGTTTATTCTCTTAAGTGTGAGTTTATTTTGGGATTAAAGATTTGTACAATGTAATTAGAAATTAGAAGAATAAAAAGAAAGCTCAAAACCTCCACCGTATGGTGGTGGCTGCCGCCACTGGCCGCCGTGTCGGTGGCGGTGTGCCTTGTTTGGATTGTGACTCGTTTGGAATGTTTGGACAAGGGACTAAAACCCTAATGGGCCGAATAAAGCCCTAATGGACCTAAAAGCCCAAACATGTAACTAAGGGGCCTAATGAACCCTAATTGATCAAAAGACCTAGCTATTTGGCCTATTGGGCTAAGATGGGGTTGGAAACCCTAATTAGGGTTTAGAAAACTCAAATATTGGATATATGGGCTTGGACTTCTCGGGACCCACATTTGGGCCATTGGAATGGAATTGTGTATTAAGACCAATCACACCATATGATTTATTTAGAAGAGTGATGGGCTTAATGAATTAAGTCCTTAATGGGTTAAGTGAGAAACACTTAACCCTAATCATCATTTTATGTGAAACCCTAATTTCACTTGGGTTTATTGTTGGGCCTTTCTATTGGGCCATGATGATTGTGTTAATAATGGGCCATCCAAGATCAAGAAAATGGACTAGAATAATTAATGGGCTTTGAGGTAAGGCCCATATGAGGAGTTGGGCCCAATTTGGAAAATTGGGCCATAGATGGGCCATAGTTTGAGCCTTTATGATTATGTGATATTGGGCCATTAGAATGTTGAATGTTGGACTCGACCAAATGGTTGGGCCTTATGGTATGACCTTATAAAGGTTTGGGCCCAATTTGGAAAATTGGGCCATGTGTTGGGCTTTGACCCATAGTTGACTTTTGGGCCTTTGCATTGATCCTTGGGCTTGGATCAAGCTAAGATTGGGGTAAACCAGTCTTTTACCCCGAGCATGGACTTTTGGTTATGTATTAGAACCTAATTATTAATTGGGTGATGCTTGATATTGACAGTTCGAGAATCTGTCATCCAGCAGCTCAGATTGTGTCTACAGGACTTCAACATTGTGAGGCGAGTTACCTTCCAGTAGCGATGGGTCTACGGCCACAATGCCGGCCCACCAGTAGGAGTTGTATGTTAGATGATTGTCTTTGTGATATTCATCTAGGTTTGCTACTACCTGATATGTTTATGTGCTAGCATGATATGTTATATGTGATAGTGGTAGTAGGGGAAGAATAGTCCCCAAGTTCGGTCGTTAGGACCGAAGGGTAGGTCGGGCACCCCAGAATTGCCTGACAATATGTTTATGCTATGATATTATGTGGTAGTAGTAGGAGGTGAAATAGTCCTCGTATGTCGGTTGTAAGGACCGACGGGTAAGTCAAGCATCCCAGAATGGCTTGACCTGGGTAGGTCAGGCGCCCCAGAATTGCCTGGCAGTATATGTGTGTTATATTATTGCGTGGTAGTGGTAGGGGTGAAATAGTCCCCGGTAGTCGGGTGAAATAGACCGACGGGTAAGTCAAGCACCCCCGAATGGCTTGACCTGGGTAAGTCAAGCACCCCAGAATGGCTTGACCTGGGTAAGTCAGGCACCCCAGAATTGCCTGACAGTATGTTATTGTATGGTGTGTGGTATGATGGGGGAACTCAGTAAGCTTCATGCTTACGGTTTTCAGTTTTGGTTTCAGGTATTACGTTTCAAAGGAAAGGAGCCGGCTCGATCGCAACGCATCACACTATGGTTTTCCGCACATGAGATCTTTGGGATTACACTCTGATATTGTTTTATGATAACATGTTTTGATTATTTCTACTTTGGTTTTGACATGACATTATATTATGGATGTTTTATTATACTGTTGGTTTTATAATAATGTATTTAAAAATGAAATTTTTGGCCTGTATTTTTGGGATGTTACAAGTTGATATCAGAGCCTTGGTTTGAGGGATTCGGGCACACTCCCGGGTGTGTCTGAACTTAAACTAAGGACTTGGTATGAAAATTTTCAAAAGTAAAAACCCTTTCTTAAAAAGAAGTTTGAAAAAATAACAGAACCTTGAAAAGAACAAAGTGTGTGATGCGTGCAATCAGCTGAGGTCAAGTAAGTTTTCCCCAAGATTCCCATAGATGTTATGTTATGATATAATATGATATGATATGGTTATGAGAACTGCATGCTAGATTAGGGCTGAGGATCTAGGAGGATGCTTTATATGCCTATTGTATGTGCTTGTAGACTTGCATGCTAGTACTGATCAGTCAGTGATAGGATAACCTGTTTAGGTTATGTCTGATTGTATGAGCCTTTGAAATTACATGCTAGTGTAGATTCCTGATAAGAGGATAAAATGATTTGTTTGGAGTATGTTGGTTAGATTTCCATGGTCTGAATGCTGCTTGCTTTGTGCTTTGTGGGACTCTTAGTAATGGGAGCTAGTTATTATGTGAATATGCGAAGTCACATGTGGCATAGGCTGGATAATCTCAGAGTGATAGATTTGACCCTATTGCGCAGCTCTTGTTTGAGTCCAACCGTTCTAGGGATGGGTCTTTTACTCGAAGGATTATCTGATCTCTGTTACATGTGGCTATATTCATGAGGTAACTAGTTTACATTACTGGGAATCTTTCAGCAGCTGAGGACTGGGTGAGTTCGGGAACCTAGGAAAGCCTAGGATATGTTTCAGTGGGTTAGTAGTGAGGTTTAGTGAGACTTGGGTGCACCAGTTTGAAGAAGTGACTTGGAGGAGTCGGGAGGATTGCTGAGGAAAGTATAGATATGTATGGAAGGTAGTATTGGGCCCGTACTACTGAAAGAACAGGATCCATACTCGAATCGGTTAGAGTATTGGAGAAGGCAAATCTAGCTCTCCTACGGGCTAGGACACGGGTAGGGGGGATACAAAATAACCATAGTGGATGCATCGGATGGACGTCAAGTGGTTCTGAGAAGCTTCAGAGTGAAGTTTGTGACCCGGTTTGGGGACAGAGGATGTTCCAGTTGTTGCAGCTCAGCCATTGGCAAGTGAGCTAGTGAGCGTGACAGGGTGTCAGACCCTGAAGGATATGATTTCCAAGAGGTTGTAGATGCGAGATCGATTTGGAGCACTTTGAGAAGAGAGGGTCGTGCTAGGTGCATACAGTAGAGGGTCCCGAAGAGAGACCCAAGACTTCTGATCATCGGATGAAAGGACAGCAGGGCCGGAGTCAGTGCAACACGTACGGGAAAATGCACAAGGGAGTTTGTTGCTCCAAGGGTTTAGGCTGCTACAGTGTAGAGGGGTCGGGTATGTCAGCAGAAGGTGATCAAGATTCCTCAAGATGTTGCGGGTATGTCATCTTCTACTGCGTATCGCTTTAGAATTGTGAGTGAGTTTGGATAAGTCAGATCTCGGGTCGGTTTTTTGTTAGTGTCTGGGTTATTAAGGATCATATATGCCATCCTGCATGTCGAAAAGTCCTTGATGAACCCACAGAGGGACGCATCTTGCGGAGTGGGTTCCGCACGTACCATTAGCATTCCGGATCTTTGTCGGGATCTATGCAGGAGTATTATTTAGAGGATACTCGTTCAGGGTTGGAGTGATAGTTCTCTAGTGAAGTCAGCGTTCTGGGGTTCTATCATTGTTCAGGTATGGTCGGTAATTGTCTATGGATGAACTTTGGAGTTCAAGGCACTGCCGTTGCTAGGACAGAGCTGGTGACATGAAGAGGGTAGTATCAGTGCGGGTGTTAGATGCATAAGTGGTTGGTCATCGGATGTTCATGAAAATTGTATTTTCGCATGGGATGTGTATGGTTAAAGCGCAGTGCTGTTGCGAGATTGGAAGTGGGAACGATGACTCATTAGCCAGAGTGGAGGTTAAAGCCTCTAGTTGTCAGCATAGGAGGTGGATCGAGGTGACAGACTGGACCAGACTTTAAGAGTACTCTTCGAGATTTCCGAGGATGAGCCGATCTTAAGGTTTGACTAGTAATTGATCGTTAGCATCACTAAGTTCAGATTGTTGGCAGTGAACTAATAGGAAGTAAGAAGGATTGGGAATCCTTCAATTCTCGCGTGCCGTGAAGACTTAGCTGAATCTAAGTGGGGGAGAGACTTTTTATAAAGTTCACCAAATGTGAGTTCTGGTTGTGCGAGGTGCAATCTCTTGGGCACCTTGTCAACCAGAAGGCTATTCTGGT